GTTTGATCAATTGCTGACGTTTGAACAATTGCTGACGTCACGTATCCGTAAAGTCTCGTGTGAATAAGGTCACATGTCTGTAACTGTAACTCTCGCGAGATTACGCTCGGAAGTGATTGGTCATTAATTATCCTGATGAAGGCCACAGTGGTCGTTAAAACTTTTATCCTTGTGTACCCTTTGTGTTGAAATGAAGCTTAGTAGCTGTAGCAATCATAGCGAGATGCTGAAATTTAGTCTTACACAAAGGGTACACAAAAATCGTTTGATTAATTACTATTTATCAATTGCTGACGTCGCGTAAAGTCTCGGTAAAGTCTCGTGTGAATAAGGTTACGTGTGTGCAACCGTAACTCTCGCGAGATTACGCTAGGCAGTGATTGGTCATCAGTCATCCTGATGGAGGCCACAGTGGTCGTTAAAAATTTGATCGTTGTGTACCCTTTGTGTTGAAATGAAGCTTAGTAGCGGTAGTAATCATAGCGAGATGCTGAAATTCATTCTTACACAAAGAGTACACAAAAATCGTTTGATTAATTACTGACTATTTATAAATTTCTGACGTCACGTATCGGTAAAGTCTCACGTGAATAAGGTCACGTGTCTGTAACCGTAACTCTCGCGAGATTGCGTTCGGAACGGTGATTGCATGTCCCCTCAACATCCACATCAATCTTTAAAGTTCACCAACCACAGTAGGCCATTAGGCTACTTCCAGCCCTACTAAATAGTCACTTAAGTCATCACTATCCAAAGTTTCAGAAAGTACGGATCAACAGGTGGAAGTTTTAAGAAGCATTCTCTACAGTTAAAGGGGGTCTGTAAATTGTAGACGTTGCCTTGTCTGTGGATGCTGGCATGCATGAAGACAAATGTGTCCTATACTGCGAATCATTGTTAAAACATAGCATAGTCAGAACAAACGCCCTACACTAAGAAATGTGTTTTTTCTCTTTCAATTTCAGTTGTCTTAAAACTGTTCAGTGTTAATTCAGTGATCACTGTTTATTAAAGGAGTACTAAAGTCCAGAAGGCAGTGCTATATTCCAACAGACATTAATTTTAGGAAGTGAAAAATGCATTCTACTTTACAGTAGACAATAAGATGGCCATTATGCGCGCAAGTCTTAAAACGCATCGAATCCAGGAAAAACTCCCCAAATAGCCTCTAAACAATCCCAGAATGCACCATGCTACCCCATTGGTGCCTATGTCTTGACCAAGAAAGTTACGTTACAGACCTAATGCCGGGGGCGATAAGAAAAAATCGAACTGTTTTCTTTTCTTCTGATATCTTACCAGCCATTGGCCTTCTTAGTGTTCTTATCACCCCTCATTTATGCCGAAAATATTGACGATGAAAAAAAAACGGCTTAATCTAATTATCTTTTCCATAAGTGGCCGTAATCTAATTATATGTTCACCTTAATATTTACATGCAAATAAATTGAGAAAATCAAAACACACAGGATGAAACTGACAGCTCACTGCATTAGACCTTCTGACATCATGGTATCCAAGCTACAGGTCGAGCAAAGTAAAGCAAGTAAGTTCTCAATAATCAGCTTATTGGTGTGTTTGTTTCCTATCGTTTTCGCCGAAAATGTTTATGTTGACTTAAAGTGTATGAGCATGGCGTAACCCAGAGATCACGAACGTATCGGTTGTGGTTCAGCATGGAGGAATGTATCACCCCCCGTCTCTGTTCAGGGTAGGTTCGTTGGCTCTAATGTAGACCGGGTCCTTCACTCCTCTTGCAAAAGAAGTCTGGTTCAGAATCGAGGATTTTAACCCCTTTTAAAGATACTGAGCCTCAGTGTCCCGGAGATTCAATATGAATGTGAAAATGTGGGCTTTGAGTCCCAATCCATTCCTATGTTGGCAGAGAAAATTGAGTCTTTATTCTATCAAATATCTGTTGATTTCCTGACACAGTATTCACGTCCTGACATGAGATCACGGACGCCAAGCACACCAGTCTGTGGCCGCTTGGATGACTAGAAACCTCTCAATCTACACAAGATAACGTATACATGCACTATGAACAGAAACGTTCAGTATGCGAAACGACCTGCCGGAATTGTTCTGTCGCTTCCAGACCATTCCTACGTTGATGGATTGGCGGCAATTTAGAGTTAGTCAGGCCCCTTCAACAACAAATCTTTATCAGACAGATATTGAAGCTGCCTGAAAGGTACATTCAGGTGGAAGGAAGATCTTTTTTACGAGGCAATACGACACGTTAGGCCATGTTGATTTGGTTATACGGATCGCATCCTCTGGGAACCCCAAAACTGATGCAAGCGTGAGAATAAAAAATGTTTGGCAAAAGAGGTTGCCTTCATTATGAAATCTACGTGGTCATGAAGGTTGTACAAATGACTAAACACACAGAGTATGGTATGGCGAATGAATAATACACTTTTCTGTTTTCATTTCTTTACATTTTATTGTTTTCCTTTGGAATTGATTTGTGAATTCTACGACTAGTATCGTTTCTCAATTTTGGGAGGCAATTTACTGCATATATTTTCTCATTTTGCAGCTGCTTTGTATGACATACAGCATGGTCGAAAAGTTGTGGGGGAAACGGACGAAAATTCATGCGCGCATGGATGCCATCCATACAATCAAATCAACATGGCCTCTATAGCAGACGCCTCCAACTACCCAAAGGCTTGGCAGTTACGTGAGATATATTGACAGATCTATATAGCGCAAATTACCCAATAAGCAAATAAAGAAAGCAATATAGAGATACGAGTAGGTGGAGATCCTCTTGTAAAACCCATGCCTATTGCTTCAAAGCCGGACGTGCATTTAAAGCAGTTGCAGCGCTAGCAGTCAACGCGCTCCAAATATAGGAATTGCCATGCGAGACAATACGGACCGATATTTCATGGCAGAGCTCGAAATACTGGCCGTGGTGCATGTGCACCCAAATTTGGAGCTGTGCACCCAATTTTTTTTCTGTGGGTGCACTGGTGCACCCAAATATTTTTGTAGGTATTTTTGTACCCATTATTGTATACAGTAATACTGGATATTCTTCGCATCTAAGTATCAGAAAAAAATATTTGTTGTAGTACTTAGCTCCCATTTCATATTCAATCTCAGAAGAGGAGCAGTAAGATCTGTAATTAGGTTTTGTTTCATATGGTGCACCTAAAAATTTTTCTGTGCACCTAAATGTTTAGGCTGGGTGCAGCAGTGCACCTATTCCCAAAAATGAATTTCGAGCCCTGTACGGGGTAACCGGTTTTATAGTCTGTAGTAAAAAGATTGGAAGGCCAGTTCGCGTTTCGAAAATCAAATATCGTCTGATATATTGAGATACGGAGAATACTGAGTAGCTTACTGAATGGATAAAAGGTAGGCGATTCGGTTAGAATCTTCACAAGGAATTTGATTCTGTGTAACTCTTGGCACAGTTTTGATATTTCTTGTCTAATAAAAGAATCAAGAAGAACAATTAGGAGTATCACAGAAACTGTGCCGTGGCCCTTCTTGGGCTTTTGGAATTCATGAAGACCTTTTAGAATATGGACAGTGAATAAAATGATCGGAATAAGTTCGTCATGTATCTAAAAAAATACGCAAGTCGCAAACATGAAATACGCAAGTAGAAAATGTGGCCGACGGCAAAACTATGT